TAGTGATCAATTAAGAAGTGAATTCGAGTCGGTAATCTAAATCCTCAACAATCGATCAAAACGAAATCGCAATCGGGCATTGCGGATCGCAAATCCTCTTAAATCCCTTTTCCAGCGAGCGCATCTGCACATCTGCAATCTTCTCGGATAGAACGAAGCCAAGAATTTGCGGAATTTACAAATGTCGCTGCTAGTTGAATCTTAAACCAAAGTTAACAAGTTTACTATTACCAAAAAGAGAAAAAAACGTGTTGTAATATGTGTTACCGACGTTTGCATTTCATTTGAATATCAATTACGCTTTAATATTGTATTTTACGACTTTTTCACGTCAAATTTTACGTGTTTTCGGGACAGCATGACGATTTAATAAAATAAGACGGAAAAGCGGCCGGAAGCCGAGAATGTTTATGTATGACATGCGAACTAGTTCGCTGCGAGTGCACGTAAAAGCACTCGGGTGGTTGGCGTTGCAGCAATAGCTGTAAAGGACTGAAGGATTCTGCAATCCTGCGAGGATTTGTAAAGCAAAGCAGTGCACATTTGCACGAGCCATGACATGCCAGGCGCTCGTTGCCTAAAAACGATGCAGGACTAACACAACCGAAAAATAAAACGAACAAAAAAAACAATATCATCCCTGTGGATGCGCTTCTGGACGCGGTGTACACACTGGAGTAGTGCGCTTGCAGGCGCTCTGGGCTTCTTTATTATTATGTAGATTAATTGCCGTCGCGGACAGGACCAACCCTTGTGCGTGTATGTCGGATACGCGGTCGGTGGTTTCGAGGTCCACTCCAGAAAAGTCGAAGCGAGATGCGTGCTGCGCAGGGACTCGTGCTGTGACCGGATGTGGAATGGAAATGGAAATGCGAAAACCCACATGTGATTATATACAGTCTGTTTTTTCCTCATCAGACACAATTATATCGGCGCGTCATGGAGATATTTTTATTAAATAAAAAAATATGGCAAACAGTCTGTATATAAATCGATTTGAATTGGACAATACTGCAAATTAAACGTGCATTCAGTACGACAAGCGTCGATGGCGCAAAGGAAGTCGACAAACCAACTGACGCTCGTTAATAAATTCAAACGCGGACGTGCGGAACGTGTATTTGGTTGCATGCATGACGAATGCGAGCCGCGCTGGTGCAATCTAGGCAACACAACGAACAAAACAAGAGTTTAACTCGCAAGACAAATTCGGCTGAATAGTGATGACAGTCGTAAATGAATTTTAAACTATTCGAATGCAGATGATGTTAGTTAACTTATAAAGAATTAAATTTGATTAATGTCGCAGCGAGGAAATATAAATTTCCGCTTCTGGTCGATTCAATTTCTGAGCGTGACCAGTTTATAGTTTCACGCTCTTCGCGCTTGTAAAACGTGCCCCGCTTTAGAGGGCAAAATAAGGAAAATAATAAAACACTGGCGATGCCAGACGTGTGCCGAATCCAGAAGATAACAGCAGATAGAAATGTTTCCAACAGCAAAGTGCAATACGTGTACAGCTGGTTACAGTAACCCTTTCAATATTTATGGTTAGTATTGTGAGTTGACATAACCTTCTACCCGCAATTGTAAACTACCAAAATGGCAGCGTTTTTCTTACTGGATTTGAAATTTCGCTAAATCCCAACGACAACAAATCCTTAGCGTGCTGATAAATCATGCATTCGAGATGAAGCGCAGGAGGGCGCGAAAGCGTGCCGCCGGCGGGTTGAGAAATATGGCGGCCATCACGCCGCCCCGGAGCCGATCCTCCATCAGTGCCGCACGACTTTATTACCCTTCTTTGTCAATAATAATTTACTGCAAACTTTCGCTTGTTTTTCGCGTTGCGAATAATAAGAATAAAGTTGTTTAAAAATAAAATGTTGCAAGTTAAGTCCACTCTTTAGTTCGATTGCAATATAATGCGATGGATACCATCGGACGACGTGAAAAATTACTTGCCTTCATTGAGCTTTAGAGCAAATTGCTCCTTCGTGTGTCCTCGTGCGTATAGTCGTGATAATGGCATCGTCGCTCATAAAAACCCAGCTCAGTCCAATGGATTACTTTATGATTGCCGGGCGCATCCAAAAAAAAGAGGGAAAAAAACGAAGAAAATCCCGATGAAATAAAATAATGCCAACTTTGCACTTTTGCACTTCTTTTACTGCGGAGTAATTCATACCGGCTTTTGTTCAAGGATAATAAACATATTGAATGTTGAGACTACGAGTAGTAACCAACTAAAGCGACTTTACGACTTTAGGTAACTTATATAGCTACGAAATACAATAATTCATCTTTCCTGGAATGGTTAAGATCGAAATTCATGAGGACCGTTAGTATTATTACTTTTAATACTCACCGGCTATAAAAGAAAGATGAGCACATCTGGTTAGTCTGTTCAATCTCGGGACTGATTAGAAATTTACGAGTGTTGGGTGGATTGTGCCCGTCAGACGAAACTAACCTCATTCTACGGACATCGATATAGATGGAGACACTGTGAAGCATCACCGCAAAGGTTTATCTCAAACTGGAGTTAGTCGTGGTGGTGGCTGTCGGGTTTCGATTAAACATGCACGACCAAACCTCCTATTGCACGCTGTAATGTAAATGTAAATTGTTGTCGTCGTCGTGTTTGGTTTGTGTGCGACCGCAATTAGTGTGAATCTTAGCTCTGGTCGGCCTTCCAAACACCACCACCAGCGCATGCGATTACTGTGCTCTGCATTACCACACTTACAGCATGCAAGCTCCAAGCTTCGTCCTGTGGAAACTCACAGTGAGGAAACTACTTGTGTCAATGTTGACACTAAATTAAACTCTCACATGAGGCGTTGTTATGGTCGTAATGGGAGTGCGACCAACGCGTACGCCCACTTCTGGGAGCGTCTCGAGGCCGACTTCGGGGCGTCTCGGCAAACATTTGCTTTTCATTACTAATTTTCATGCGTGCGGAAGCGTCACCTCTGCAGTCAAGATGTGATCTGTCTGATAGTTAATGGATAATCGCTTTTGAAGCAACAACAAGTTTATAGTGAAGTAGTTTTAAGCTGTTTCAAGTTTCACGTCGCAAAGATCTCAACTGTCGACATAATTTATGCAGTGGAAAAAATCTGGAATATTTTATTATTCCATTAAATATTAAAATTTATTTATATCTCTCAAGAGTACGAGTTGAGTTGATGGCCATCGATCCTGTCTGAGCTTCGACCTACCCAAATGTAGCATGAATTGATCCCAGAACGCTGAAAATATTTTTGGTTCAGTTTAAAAATTACCTAAAGTGATTGTAGAAGTCATACCCATTATAACCGGGTGGAAAAATCGGCAAATAATAGTAATGAATGATTCAGTTGCATGTGAAATCCGTATCAAGGCGCGCCCAGCAAAAGGTTCGGTCGGTTCTGACTGAGCGATAAATTCATCGAGGAGGCACTCTATTTATTTAATGCGCCATTTATTGAATATACACGCAGAATGATTACGAGGGTGGTTATCAATCAATGTGTCGGGGCTAGGTACGCGCTTGGACTTTACCGGATGACTTATGCTTGCTTGCGCATGCATTAAATCCAACCCTCAAACCACAACATGAAATGAGTGGTTGTCCGTGAATGGGGAAGGGATGGCTAGTTGTCGATAAACACGACTATGAGTTGGCTGCTAGTGCAATGCATCCAAATCAATTTAATTAGATTTGATTGATTTCACACCGCATTAGTGTTGATTAATTCCAGCGATTGCAAATATTAAATAGTTGGGCAGGTATTTGAATTTTCCCGCATTTGCTGGTTTATTGTGATCTGCATAATTCATAATTCGTGAATATTACTGTTTCAATCCGTTGCGCATTGTTGGATTTAAAATGAAATTCGGACGCGGTGAGTGTTGAATGGGTGAATGTGTAAATGAACAAATGTGGGGTGAATGGGGCGAACTTTCAAACAGAAACGGCCAAATTGCAATAGCCGCAATTGCGGTTCATTCGTTTTCGGGGCGAATCGTCGCTTCGTCTCATTAGAGTTCGACGCGTCATTATTGATAGCACGATGGCGTTGGTATTCAAATTTGAAATTGCTGGTGTAACAAGCACGTAAATAATGCAAAATGGTAAAGAATTAAATTTCTTAAAAGCACACGGCAAATACACCAAATTAAAACCTTGAAATAAAGCTATTTAATTAATTTCATCATGTTTTATACTTTAATAAGAATGTGTAATAAATATCGGATTTTTCAGAAATAAAATGTATATTTATCTGTTTAAAAGGTGTTAAACCTTGATACAAATACAATTTATATTTTTAAATGATATTATGCAAACGTATGAAAATTCTTATTCGTTTTGGTTTGGTTTCATCACTGTCTGTAGTTAGTGAACAGAGTTTACTATCCCTCACTACCGGAGTGACTCATCTAAGAACATCACGCATCGTCAAGAGTAATAAATAACAATTCTCAAACGTTTGGCGTATTTATTTTTGTTATATTACTTACTTACTTTTTGTTCAAATATAATATTCAGTTTGAATGATTCAATTTTGGAATTCAAATGTTATATAATATAATCCTACTTTATTTTATTTTAATTTTGACTAGTTTCACTAAATTAAAGCAGTGAATAATGCCGTATAATAAAACGAACTAAATATAATCCGAAAATAGAAACTAGTCCAATATTATTTTTTGAAATAAAAAATATATATTTTATACCTTTTCTACTTTCCAGCGAAACATAAATTTTACAACTTTTTTATTTATAATTTTTTTCATTTGTTACTGAGCGCACAGTCACAATCAAATCAATTTTTTACTTGCAACGGTTCTACCTTATAAAAAACAATCAATAATTCTAAACACAAGATTATGGCAAAGTGCAACAATAAAGCACAATACCTTTTTGTTACAATATATGAAGCGTGGCTATCGTTATCGACAAGCAAAATTAATAAAAGTCCAAATTTCAAATACTTTTTTATTACTTACCCAGAGTTATCATGTGGAAGACTGCGGGTCTTCTTTTTACCCTGCTGGGATGGAGTCATTACCTACAAGCGCAGAATTTGCCTAATATGAACCGAATAGTAGGCGGTCATATCGCTAGAATCGAAGACTATCCGTACATGGTGCACGTTCTGCACAATAATCGCTGCTCAGGAGCAATTATTAACAATAATACTGTTTTGACAGCTGCTCATTGTATCTTCCGGTATGTATAACAACTTAATATGAAACAAATAAATTACTCACTTTTGCTTGACATGTAGTCGAAGTATAGATGGAACTGTCATAGCAGGAGAGACTCTATTTCATAAAAATACCTATCCTAAAGGGCATTTGTTTAAAACCGTGTGGGCAAAGATGCACCCAGATTATGACGATATAACTAAAGCCAATGATATTGCCATCGTGAGGGTTAGTCAGAAGAAATAAAGAAAAATAACACGATTTATAAACAACATATTTTTTAGATTGACGGATTTTTTGAATATAGTGATAAGATTAAGCCAATCGAACTTTTGGACGATGAAGTACCAGCAGGTGAATTCTGTGCAATTAGCGGTTGGGGCAAGACAACCCTAGCACGTCCAAAGAAAGGCCCCAAACCAAGTGTAAGTTTCCAAGCAATTCCACTACGAGCAGCAGAGGTTCCAATTGTCAGCGACGAATTATGCAACAAAATTTATGCACGTAGTGTGTTTGCATACAAAGACACTAATATATGCGCTGGTTACAAAAAAGGTGGTATTGACACGTGTCTTGGAGACTCGGGTGGACCACTTGTATACAAGGGCAAGCAAATTGGTATCGTATCATGGGGCTACGGTTGTGCCGATGCCAGATATCCAGGTGTATACACAAAAGTACGAAAATATCTTGCCTGGATCGCAGAAACAGCGAGCCAATAATACTGACTAATTAAATGACAAAAATTGTTGTTTTTTACTCTGAGGTAGATTGTATCAGAGTAATTTTGTGAATTTATTTTATTTCCGGGCTAATTAGTCGTGTCGAGTCGTATATTCTTTTGTTTTACCTTAACTCAATTCTGTCTTCGTTTTTCGTTTTTTGTTTCTCTTTTGTTATCCCTTGTAATTTCCCACCTTTCAAGATATGCATCCTGGCAAATTATCCCCGAGGGAGGATTTGTCCTGCGTAATGGCGCTAATGAAACGTAGAAGCGTGGAATATCAACTCGACCTGAGTGGAAAACTGCGTGTATTTTTTGACTCGCAGCTTTGTGTAAGTGTATACTTTACACAATCTTTACTTACTCGTTTTTAGAGGAACGAAGTTATAGCTTATCGATTGTTAATGTAGTTTTAATGACAACCAATTTTATTCGCCTTTTTCCCTTCAACACGTTGCGCCTTTTTTCTGGCTCACGGTGATTAGGTCGTTGACATCTTTATTAGCTATATTAGTAATCAAAAAGTTCACATGTAGGAAATAATATTTTAGTATTTTTATGAGTATGACATTTACTGGCCTTTAACGTATTTAATGTTTTTATTATCTTTTTTCTTTGTAGGTTGCAGGTAATTTAAGAAAACAATTGGAGCGTTTTTTGTTGGTTCATGTCAGTTAAATTGTAATCGATTATACGCCCATTACACTTCGATTGGACACACAAATATCAACCCGGGACAACTTACTGGCAATTCCCAGTGATTAATTTATTATTTATGACCGTTTAAAGTTGTTTTCAAAAGGTATAATCATGAATAAATTGGGTTGAAATAATAAATAAGACATTTTACACATGAAGCATTAAATTTTTGTAGAGATTTTTAAAATTATTTCTTTTGATAAAAATATAAAGGTTTGCTAAGTTTAACTAATTAATTAAAATTTTAATCCTTCATTTCCTGCGAACAGCTAAAAGTAAAACGTAAATCCTTTTTAGTCATAAATAACAGATGAAGAAACACGGCTCGTGTTGATTTGCTAATTCTTGTTTCCAAGAAACATTCCAAGAAAACCTAAAAACCTGTTGAAGAAGACAAAAAAAATTACGCGTTTAATTAAAAAATGAATAAAAAGTCCAAATAAAATATGCAAGGCGAAGGAAAGTAGGAAGTAACTTTAAGTACACGTAAAAGGCGGAATGAAAAAGTAAAATTTAAATTTCGAAATATGTTCACGATGACTTTATTACAAAAAAAAATATAAGATATAAAAAGTCAAGAAACATTACATCGTTTTTGTGTAAAAATTGTGTCGTTACGATTTGTGTAAAAACGCAATTTAAACTTTTTACAAGAAGTTCTATAATATTTTTTATCTTGCCCTCGAATGAGTTTCCACATTTCTGCGCAAGATTTCTGTAGAAGTCGACTGAAACTAGCAGTGCGAGATGCAAAACGGATGTTTAAATATTAAACGACGCGCCATGTTTAATATTCTCGCGCCGGCTGGTTAATGGCGACAAAGCTCTCGCGAGGGCGAAATGTAAATATGATAAATCCGGCTTGCTTGCTGGCGACATAATGGGCCGGGCAAACGCAAGTACGCAGATTTTATAAACACACAAAGATGTAAAATCTACGGACTCGGACACGTTCCCTACCGCACAAATTGCGCATAAACTGCGCACACAGCTCAAAACTCAACGAAATGAACATCTGTTTAGAAATGTATAAAGCGAAAGTTATGTATTTCATGTTGTAGATAGATGTATATTTTTATTTTGCTGATGTACGACTGATATTGCCTGTGTATCTACGAGGAACATAATTCCAGTTTCCGGTGCGTTAATCGAGCCGAGATGCGCATCGCGAACTTTATTAAGTTTGCGTTAACTTTGCGCCTTCTTTGGCGCGCCGCACAGCGTCGTGCTTGTTTTACGAGTTCCATTAATTAAATCCAAAGTGCTGTTTGTCTCGTAAAGCTTCAACGGATATTAACACTTGCGGCCAGAGTCATCCACTCTTCGTTTTTTATGTAATATCGTCGAGAGCACATTTCGATTATAGCAGGAAACGCAATTTACATTAAACAAATCCACATCGATGTTGGAATACTATAGGCAACTTTTTATACAAGAATAGTTAAGAAATCCTTTTACTTGAATGCAATTTATAAAAGAATAGAACGTTTTTCTACGTTGAAGATAAACGAAATTAACTTAATAGACAAATATTGACCGAATGTTTTTGTTGACAAGCTGTCCTTTCCTCTTTCCCAATGAAAATTGAACACCAAGGTCAGTAAGGGCAGTGCGAAAACGAAAAGGCTGGTTTCCAATTCGGAATGCGAATAATAACGACCTGCCGAATCATGTCGACTGGTTGCAGGAGTGCCAGAGCAAAAACGAGGATCAAACAACACAAACAATCAGTGGGCCAGAAAAAGAGAGGATCCGAGTGCAAAGTCGACGCCGGGGCTGAAACTCAGACAAGGCGAAATAGAAGCTTCCAGTCGACCTAATCTTGTTAAGTTTTTCGTCTTTCAGGGGCCTGCTGTGTTCGTTTTGCCCTTGAACGCAGACTCCAACCCCAAGAGGGTTAGACTCCTATTGTCGTGGTTTATACTTTTGTAATTTTGTATTTTCCACCTTTAGAAAAAATCAAAACGAATAGCTAATTTTTTGTCACGCATTGAGCCTGTAATTAATAGGATTAATTTGCGAATCGATTTGAATGGAATAATCCGCTTTTATTTGAATTCCTATTGCATGTGATTGATCACAAATGCGTTGATTAAAGCTACAGTAGAAACACACAAAGTGGCTGAAGAGTTTAAATTTTTAAAAATTAAATGCGTTACTAAAAGCTTTTTTGTATAAAAGTTACTGTATTTTATTTTTCAGTACTCAATTCGTAAGTATTATTGTTCTTTTACTGAAACAGGCACGGTACATTCGTATATCCGTTCAAAAGGACTCAAAGGGGCCACAAAATGCGTTTTTTGTGGGATGTGAGAGAATCGAAAAGAACATTCGGGTCCAGTATTTTACGAGGTTGGCGACAAATGGAATCAAAATATTATTACGCGTGTAATTAATATCTTCACAAATCGATGTCGATGGCGATTGAAACCGACACGTTCACATCAAAGCAGTGAGATCGTATTTATGAGCAACAGATGAAAATGAACAAAACAAACAAGTGTTTTGTTTTCGTTGCGCGTTGTAAGCTTCGTTGGCCATTTTGGTTTATTACCATCACGAATCGTGGACTGAAGTTTAATTAAAAACGCGGTGGCGTCTTGTTATTAAAACGTTTTCTCTCGAGTTTCCTACTGCGCGTTGTTTGGGTTGGTTTTGTCCCGTTTAGTATAGTATTTTTTTCGTCTTTCTGGTGGTGAATAGCATTTGTTTTTCTTCGGTACTGTTCATTTGAATTTTATATTTTGCTTTTATTCCGCCTGCGCGCGCTGGCAGCGCAGCAAATCGCTTTCTTTTCATTCCTGTTTTTTTAGAAATATGTTCTCGCGTTGTGTTTGCTTTCAATTCGTTTAAATATAACTTATTTTTCGTGTGCGCGCGCGCACTAACAATATTGCAAAATTTTCTTTACAAATCGAGAAAACAGAGCGCGCATGAGAATGGTGCGTTCAGTTTTTGTGCCTGGCGTGAACACAAAGCGTGACAATAGAGGTCGTCGTAAAGAAAACGGTGATAAAAAGCGTCAAAATGGATGAAATTCGCGCACAAAACTCGTACAAAGAATATTACAAGTATTGCAAGTCATCATAAAAAAAGAGGCTATTCAGGGTTTTTAAAAATTTACGTTGCTAACCAAACAATAACAAATGTAATGAGTAGTTTTTAACACCATTTTTAAAATCACGTCGTTGGGAAGTATTTATATTTATAGCAAAAATTCAATATTTAAGCACTCCTAGGTAAAAGTTTTTGATCGTTTCGTCGGATTGGAAGTTGAAAGTTAGAAAAGTGCACGCGAATATAAGAGGCCCATATTCTTCGCATTTGCGGGCGGAAATTTCAGATTTATTATTTCAATTTTCCCGTTTGCGTTTTCGGTCTCTCGGCGCTCTCTCGCTTCATAAGTAAGTGCTTATTTATAAGTGCGCAGTATATTTAAATTTCATGGCCGCTCGGTCGCGGGTATTAACTCATAATTTATCGGCGTTTGAATGGCAATCGAGGCGACTGGAGGAATATGAAAGACGTGCAAATGCAGAACTAAAAACTGAATTTTCATGCGAATTGAAAATATTGATGATTTGAATAACGGAAAGCGAAACGAAGACCTTTGAAAATTTATTGCAAACGATTTGCATACATATAAAATGTCTGTAAATAAAATCGAATACCCCATGTTGGGCAAATAATTAGTTTTTAAATAATTAATAGGTTTTTTTATGAAGTCGGTTTGTTGTTCGTATTTTCTGTTTGCTTTGCACAAAGATTTTTTGCTTACTTTTCGGTTTTGCGCCAGTTTTTCGGTGTCTATTGTGCCACACTTGATGCTGTTTGTCAAGGTGCTTTCGCCGTGAAAACCAGGACAATGAGCGCTCGCCACTCGTGACCACTTCATTTCGTTTTCACTCTTCATCTCGCCACTTTGCCACCGCCGCTTTCTTTTACTCCCTTCACCATTTCCGCTCCTTGCACACACTTGTGAAGTGAGTTTCTTCAAATATTGCAAAAATGTTCCAATTTCAGGATTCGTTTAACACAACTCCGCATAGAATAACATTGGATCTAATTTGCTGCAATTTCGAGACAAAATAAGCAAAAGCAAAAATACGGAAATAGTTAAATTGGTTTCGGTTTCAAAGCAAAACTTTTCCAGGCGAGTACCATTGTTTGCAACGTTTAAATTCCGTTGTGTTTTTTTGTGTGCGTCTGCCGACGCTTATTTTTATTTGCTTGCAATTAAAGTTATCAGAGCATTGTAAATAAGATAGTTTGAAAAGTTAAAAGTTTTTCGTTTAACGCTACCAGATGGCGAAGGCAACGCGAAAAAGACAAGCGAATTGTTTTAAGAACGCTCGCTTTGTCCGAAGAGAATTTATTGCGCTTCAAAGAAGCAAACACAAGTGATTGAGGTTTAAAATTCCACTTTAAGACGAATAAAAAAATATCCACGAAATAAAACAGCGTAAAGAATACGAGCGTTAATTAGAATTCAACGGTGCACTTTCCATTAAGATCCATCAACACGCGCGCAAGGATCTTAGAAGCAAAACTTTAACACAAACTTAGTCCTGCAGGACGTGTACTCCGAGTACACTGGTGTATCACATTTCGCCTTGCGGTAGTGGAGAGTCTAGCTACGTCTTGACTACAGTGTCAAAAAGACCGAGTAAGCGTGGCTTGTTCGCTTGTCCATCGCGCCCGCCTGTCATAACGCCGACGTTTCGACTTGCAGACTTCCGGCTTCCCGCTCGCGCGTATAATCACAAGTCACACAGCCACCGACAACTCGTTTGTGCCGGCTCGCACGTCATGGCGTAACAACATTTTATTCGCCGTAAATATACTACGCGAGCTTCCAGCTTAAATTACAAGTTATATTAGCTCGCTTCGTTTGGCGAGCGCTCGACGTGCGCTCGTTTTTTCTACTTTCCGACTTTTTGCCGTGTTGTTCTTTATCCAATCTGTTTCCGGGCGCTTGTTTCTCCGCCGAGTTGTGCGAGTTTACACTTTACATTTTCTCGCGGCGTGCTCAGAACGGTCGTCATGCTGCATGTTGTACGTATGCATGCTGAGTTGTCTACTTGCAGCGTTGTTAAACTAGGTTATGTCGGTGTGAGTACGCCGCGCGCGATTAATTAGATGTCGGTTGGAAATTTGCTCAACGCGCTGTCTGTTTAACAACGCCGGCGGCGAAAGCTTCCGGAAAACGCGCGGAAAATGTGTCGAACTTACGCCGGCAAACTTGGATATAATATTGTAAACTTTTAAATTACTGTGAATTATATGCAATAAATATTTATACTTGAAATAAAATATTTGAATTGATTTTCTCAGAGTTTAAGATGAGTAAACTGAGGCAATCACAACGACTGGTCCCTATTTTATTTTCATAGGCAATTAGGCGCGCACTGCGTCACTTCCTTCTTAAAACCGGAAATGATTAATGATTGAAATCGCTCGCGTCCAGGTCCACTGGGCGAAACGGATGAAATAAGACACGACGTGCTGAGACGAACGAAATTGAGAGTGATATACGAGCGAAAATGTCATTCGAATTTATGTTTATTAAACAACAATTTTAATTAATTTATTAATTAATTCAAAAAGTTTTAAAACTTTTTGATTTTTTTTTGTGTTTACATGCAACATATTTAATATATATTACTTGTGCGTTTCCTAATTCCAGAGTTTATGACTTCATTTTTCATATTCCAGCCGTCATATTTTTAGCCTGACGCACGCACGCATAAACGTGAAAGCAAGTGCATCGCAAGCGCATTGCACGCGGCAAATGCGGTGTTTGACCGCCGCCTCCGCTGGCTGAGCAGCCGCCGTCGTTTGGGAGGCGCGCGCGTTTCGCGGGAATGCTTTCGTCACGGGACGCCAGTCGACGTTCGGACTGCGACGCGCGTAGGCGTCACGACGCCCTGCAACGCGACGCATCGACCACGAGTGCTGACGGTTTTACGCGTTGCGGCAAAATTTTGCATACACTTTCACCCGCCGCAGAGCGCGGCTTCATGTTTTTATGTGAATTTTGAATGTGCCACAATGTGACCGTTTTAATTACCATGGATTATTTGGGTTAAAGAAGCTGCATCAACGAACAAAGATTGTGCTGTGTTGATAAAATTATATTAAAATGTGTGTGACAACGAATTTGATGAATATTAGCGTATTTCTTATTTGATAACAAGTGAAACAAAACTTTGTGTCATCAACTTTTATTAAACATTAATGGAAATTAGTTTATCAACACTTTCACAACAATAAAATCAGGTAAAATATTTCTTTATTTTTTTGTTTGTTTTACTTGTAGTACAAAGACAATATTTCCATTTGTCTTTTCTTCTGCCAACGTTCTACTTCTGTTGCTGCAAGTTGGCGAGTTTGTGAGTTTTTCTTTTTCTGCTGATAACAGCGTGCCAGCGAGAGAGTCGTAGTATCTGGTGATTTTTTGCAAGTTGCGTTTTCGGCCATATTTCACATATTTCACATTTCTTCAACGCAGCTCCAAGAACACCAAGGGAGTTGGACTGTCGTTATCATCCTCCGCGTCGTTTTTCTCCGCTCCTGCCAATTCATTGCGAATCGCGGAATCTTGCCGAAAAAAAAGGTCGCATATCAAGTCAGTATGCCAAAGAATAGAAAGAAGAAAGTCAAATGGCAAAGATGTAGATAAACCCGCCTTAACGAAATTAACAAAGTTTGTCTCTATTATATTTCCCTCGCTGACTTTTCCTCTGATAATTTTGTCTTCACATTTTTTTCGTACAAATTTTGCTTTTCTGCTTATGCGAAAATCTGCGAATAAAGTTCTTTTCTTATAAATCGCAAAAAATTTCATCATGGTTACTAAATTATACAACTTTTCGAAGGCATTTGAAGTGATAAAACGATAGCAAAGTAAGGTGACAAAGATGACAAAGTGGTAAACACTTTATTTGGCAAAAAAAAGTCGTGAAGATGAAAAAGTGCAAAGTTGAAGTCGACAAACTTTAGACTTTAGTGGTATCACCATCTACTCCCGCTGTTACCGCTTGTTCCGGCTGCCTTCGGCATAGAAAAATGAATTTTTCTACTTTCCTAACATTTCAAATCTATTACCTATATAATATCGTTTGTTATTGCAAAAAGAAACTAAAAATCACTTTAAAATTAACTAGAATAAAATGATGCGTTTCACTTCGCTAGTCTTTTAATGCAACTCAATTCTCTTTCAGCGTTATCTGTGCCTAATTTTCATGTAATTGTAGTTTGCAACTTTTTACCCACGAAAATCTCCTTTTGGCGAATTTGTGCAATGGTTGCTCGAGGCTGTCTAACAATTCCATGGTGCTCGAAACTTTTTGGATCACTTGGCGGAACTCTTTGCTACTCCTCGGTTTCTTGTACTCCCATTTCTTGCACTCTCTGCACTCTTTGTATCTTCTAACTTTCTTGCATTTCTTGCACTTTGCGCGATTTCTGCAAACTGACAGCGTTTTCCTTCCAGCTGCGTTTTTTTGTCGCGGAATTCTTGGCTTTGTGGCGCTTTCGAGCTTCCTAGCGACGAATCCTCGCTATTCAATTCGCAATTCGCTGGCGTGGAGTTTTCGCCATTTTGCCAATTCTACGACGAGATATAAGATATAAGCAGCGCGCGATTAACTCAAGTCGCGACTTCAATTCCGACCATTTTTTCATCTTACGTTTTGTACCGCAAATAACCGCGTATAACGTCAATATTGACTTGGTTGCTGCTCAAATTATTAATGATTTCAAAGTTAATCCTGATATCAATTCTATTGTTGATGTTACGAGCTACTAACACATAGATGGCGTCAACATGAATCGCATATAGATTGCCGATGATAACCTATAACACGGCCGATGGAAACATGCTTCAATCACGTTCCTCCTTTAGCATATGACCTCTATCTTTTATTCTCCGCCTACGCCTTCGCTCTTCTCTGTTTATTGCATGCTCCCTTACTTCGTGCCGAAGGATGTTTCGTGTATGTTTAGCTAACGGCTTTCGTGGGATAGCAAAGGATAACCGAGGTGTGTAGTCCCAGGCTGATCGCTGAATGTTGTATGCGGAATGCGGAATGCCAATGCAAACAAATTAATTCTGCGCCAGCCGCAACGTGGGGTTGAACATGATAACACGCGTGCTCCAGCAATTCAACCAAACCGTAATTATGTGATGGATTAATTAAAAAAATCTCCTATTACAACCCACCTACACAAAGTACCTAGGGCGTTACAAGCAGTACTCAAGAGGGATGCGTAAAAAATCCGCTTTGATATTGCGTTCATTAAAATCATCTACAAACTACAAACAAGTGAGTGAAGTGAAAGGGGATTAATAACAAAATGTATCTGAGAGGTTTTTTCACACATAACTTGAACAAAAATAAAATTACAAATATTAAATTACAATTAAAAGTTTTATCGAATTGCGATCGAACATTAAGATAAGAATTTATAAATATAAAACATCTGAGGACTTTATCTTAAATGCGCGGTTTACTGTGGTATGCATTTTTAAAATACTGAAAGTTTGCATATCCATTATACTTATAAAATGGGGAATTTCATTTCAAAACTATTTTTATGTGATTTAATTCCACAATTTTTAAAGAAAATGCATTTTAAGCTTAAATGCAATTTAATTAAAACAGGAATTTCTACGAAAGAATGAAACGCACTGCATTAGCAAATATTCAATGACAATATGGATGTAACTATGCATTATTTAAATACCTCGAGTAGTTTTACAATAAGTAATAAATGTTTTTCGGATAGCGTTAGTGTCGCTTCAAAATGAAGCTTTTTACAAGTTTTTATAAAATGCAAACTTATATACTTATATCATGTTTGAGCTAATTAAGTTACGCAATCGCGTTAGGTCATGTTAATACGAGCACTAATGAAGATGCGGGTTAATCCGCGCGACGCGATATTATAAATTAATGCGATCGCCTACTGTTTGTCGGCGTCTGTCGCGCCCGTCGCTGGCATCCGTTCGCATCGTAAAATTAACTTGATTGCGCGGAAACGTATTGCGGCAGTTTTGCGTTTGCGTTCGTTCATTTCGTTTACGAGTCTCAGCAAACTGTGGCAGCCTCAAAAGTGGCGCTGGTTTTGCTTGATGTTTTAAATTAGGGTCTTGAGCAGCCGTTGCCGGAAGCGAATGCTCCAACCAAAACGTGTTTGAAGCTATTGTCCGTTAGATGGCGGCACAAACACCCAAACGATACAAAAACATTAGTAGATGTTTGTAGTATTAAAGTTGTCAAACACATTGTATGTGAAAATAATGTTCGAAATTTGTGCGCTGGGTCCAGCAATGAAATGATTATTGTTTAAACGGTTTGTCCGGGCCACGGCGACCGTTGGCTCCTGCTACTGAAAATTGAAAACTATTTCGTTCGACACCGGTGTTCTCGACGCTGGGGGTGAAAGAAGAAGGAGGACACAAACAAAATGCCACAACTTGCGACATGCGACTGTAACGCGTTTACAATGTGTTTCCAAACAATTACGGCATTTGAGATTATTGCGACTATTTCGGGCGTCCCCAGCAATCCTGAAATTATGAATAGCTCGAACTATACATTAACGCATTAACGTGAACAAATATTTGAAAACAGCTGGACATTAAAGCATTATTCTAGAGTGCGGAAATGGGTTTTAGTGTTTTGGGTTGCGCCGCTAAAGTTTTAATGGTTTTTGTATATTGGATTGCATATATTTTATTTTATTAACCCAAGCCGTGCACTGTGTTAAAATTATATGGAATAAAATATTTACATACAGTTTTCTCCAGTATTTGTATGTGGAGTGTTGGCTATCCCTAAGGAGAAAGCTCTGTAAGTGTTGAGACGTGTTGAACATCCTTTCCTAAGCGAGACAAACGCGTAAAACACACACATTCATCTCGAATTTTTTTCGCTACCAGTTTTTCATTCCTCAGCCCCCTAGTTTGCAAGCCTGCTTATTCTTCGCTTAGCACACACTCGGAGGCGCACATATTTTGGCACTTTTTTATGCGTTAGAAGCAGGTGTTTATGAATACTTTATAAAGTGTGCGTGACACCCCAGATGGATGGGAAACAAACGAATGCCGAAGAGCCGAAGACGCAACCAAGGAAAATACTTTCAAACGTATATAAACAAAACGCGCTGCCTGAAAAACAAAGACGGCTGATGGAATGGAGATGAAACCGAAATGGAAGCAAAACCTGTGGGAAAGTGGAAAATCCAGCAAGAACGGAAGAAAATGCGCGCGAGTAACAAATGTCGCGAGTGATGAAACCTGACGAGCGAGGAAAGCACTTCAAAGTGTGGAATAAATGAAAATTCGCTGCCGGCGGCAAAGTGAAAGGAAACACTTGAAGGTCGAGACTTGGGACTCTTCAAACACCAAAAAAATAAACAATATAAAACTCACGCAAATAAGTACATTAAAAACAATTAATTTGTTATTGGAGCCACGCCTCACAAACAAGTTTTAATGAATTCACTGATGCGTCGGAATGACGCATTTTCTATTACATTTCTGTACACGGATGAGTTGTTTTGTTTGGTGCGTGCGCGTGCCGAATTGATTTGATTCATATATCGAGTGTCCGCCGACCTTGCATTTAATTTGCCGGCACCCGTCAGCCATAAAGCAATAATACTGTGATACATGTTGCTGCTGTCGAGCAATCGCGATCGCAGCGCGCGTATCGGCGATGCACGCGTTTTAATCTGATTTTCTATGCATTGGACGCGCGGTGAGCCTGCCATGATTGATTGCGACGCGCAAACGGGGGAATCACACTCGGCGCCATGTTGTGTTATATTAAATCAACCGCGCGGCTAAATTGCAGATGGACATCCCTGACACAACAACCGGAATTAATCAAAAGTTAACATTTTTGTTCGAATACGTTTGAAGTTGGGTCACTTCCCATGTTGGTTTTCATTTTTTTCCGCTCGTCAACACATGATATTCGGCAGTAAACAAAACGCAAACGACAAATTACCGTGCGTTCCCTTCACGGTGGAACGTTGTTTGTAGGTCATTAGTATCAATTTCCAATTGGATAATGATGGATAATGAAGAATAATTGCTCTAGGGATATCAAAACGTCGATAAATATATTTGCGTTTTGGATAGGTTATTTTTTCGAGTGCCATTTTGTTTTCATCACGAGTGTACACCGTCAAATGCGATTAGAAACAAAAGTGGACAACGACGAGATAAGAATTTCGACAAATTACATCGAAATTGCAGCGATTACGGC